GCCACAGGGGGGCCGGCCCATTCCCCCCTCGCTCTCCTCCCGCCCTGGGTCACTTGCCGCCTCTCGCTCTCCCCTGCAGGCTGCTGCTGCGTCCCCTCCCTCTCTCTGAGCTGTCCAGGAGCCACCGGACTCTTCCTCTCTCCCTCCGGCCTGGGACGGAGCCTCTGTGTTTATTGCGCAGGTGCTGAGGAGACACAGATCGGGACGTGGCCTGGCGCTCGCCCGCCAAGGGCCCCGGAGGCACAGACTGCGCTCGGCTCTGTGCTGCGTGCGCCCCACCAGGAGCACGTGCAGCGCATCGGACCTGCCCCCCACGACTCCGACAAGACGCTAATTAAAGGAAACGAAGCAGGAGCCTCTTTCACCACAGCGAGGAGAGGAGGGTGGGCTGGTGACCTACGCACAACACTGGCTGCCAGGACTCCTGGGTTCTTTGCCTCCACCTCTGCTGCTGACTTGCTGGGTGACCTTGGGCAAGTCGCTTTGCCGCTCTGTGCCTCAGTTTCCCCATCTGTAAAATGGGGAGGATGACATTGCAGGGTGCTGCGGGGAGGAGTGAGCTCAGGTTGATCTGGCGTTCGGAGGGCTAAGTGGCATCCAACTCAGCGGTTAGCGTCCGTTGCTGGAGCCCTGCAGAGACGGAGGGAACCCCCTTTGGTGTGGCCTGGGGGGTGTCAGAAGCACTAGGCCTCCTTCCCATTAGCAAAGAAAATAGGAGCCACTTCCTCGTGCTCTGAAGCCGGCCCAATGCTCCCCCCACCCCCCATTACGGTACCGGGCAGCCGGGGCGGCGATCCTGTCCTGGCGTCAGCGGCCTGGCATCCAGCTTCTCAGCGCTCCGTGTAGCGCAGCGGGACGGGGACGCGTCCGGCCCTGGGGCGAGGCCGGGGCACCTCTCCCACCCAGCCGCCTGGGGGCGACAAGCCTCAGCCAGGTGTGGGGGCCCGGGGCTTGCTGCTTGGGCTGGTGGAGCTGGCAAGCTGTGGCCACGCCCTCCGAGCCCAGCCGCTCCTGCCAGGTGGCGCCGCCCGGCCCTTTGGAAGCTCCAGCCCCTCCTGCCCGCCCCCCGCCGGCGTGCCGAGGGAGGACCGCAGGAAGGGGCCTTCTCCCGCTTGGGGAGCTGGCTCCTCTCGGGCTCTGTAGCAAGAGTTTACCGGCCCAGGGGGAGCCACGGCGGGACTTCCCCCAGCCGCCTGCAGCCTTTTGCCCCGCCCCCCCAGGCCTCTGTCCAAGGCGTGGCACGTGGCCCCAGGCCCAGGGCGGGCTCGCAGATTTGGATACGTTTCTAATTAAAGGTGGAGATAAGTCCCCGGCCTGAGCCTCTTCTTGCCTCGGCGTGACAGAGCCCGGGGCAGCGCGGGCCCTGCGGGGAGACGAACAGAGACACTGGCCTCTGCTCCGCTCCTGCAGCGCCACCACCCCCGCCCCGTCCCTGCCCCCCGGTATGGCCTAGGCTCTCGAGCTGCTCAGTTGTGGTGACTTCTCCTTCCCTTGGAGCTGCCGCGCACACGGCACCATGACTGCGGCTGTGCCCACCTGCCCACGCCGCTCCCCCTGGGCTAGCGCCAGCCCTCAGCCAAGCCACGGGTGGCAACCCACCCTCTTGCCCCGGGAGGGGACCCACTGGCAGGAAGGGGGAGCTGGCACCACCACTGCCTGGACTAGACCTCCCCGGCTCGGTCTCCAAGGGCGCCTGGCTCAAGGACGTGCTCAGCCCCCTCCAGGCTCACGCGTCCCTGTGCCACTGGGTTCCCTGCGGCTGCTCTTACAGCCTCAGGTGGGGGGGGCCAGACGA